ACATTTGGGGGTTGGCACACCAGAGACTAGGGCATAGGAAGTCATAGACTTGGCACTATGGATAGAAGTTTAATAGATAAGGTGGAGCCTAGAGATATTTGACTGGCAGTAGACGACTTTGATCACACACGTGGTCCGTAATGTAAAGGTTTGATCATGAGAAATATACAGTGTTAATGCTGAACCTATACCCATCCAGCTTAAGAATCTAAGCTTTGAAGGCTCACTTAGTGAGTTGGGGGTTCACTCAAAGTATTGAGTCAGAGTGCGTGAAATAACTCCTCGATGAGCTCAAATATGGTGGAGTGAAATCATTGAATCAAGGAGCTAAAAGACTGATCCTATCGGGCAAGATGTAGATTGTTAGGACCTGGAGGATGAAAGTTGCCGACTAAATAGGTAGGTTTGGATCATCACTCCCGGCACCGTGTGGGGAATAGGGGTTGCAACAGGGAGTGTGATTATATCTCACCAAATCGGCTACAAAAAGGCATACCAGAAACAGGTACAAATAATCAAGTAAGAGATTGATATTTTGAATGCTTGCTACGAGTATATTGGATAGATGAATACACTAGGACAGGAGAAATACTACAACTTTTCTGCATACAATTGGTCGAAGTATTGACTTCACTTGCCTTTTTGATGAGTTGTATTTTCATGCGATGACTGGCAAGACTCACCGATGATGGTAATGCAACGTCTGGGTATATACCAATTCCACAATCCAACTATAAATCTTCATGCATACTGAGCAAGGTGCGTTCCTCTAGGCCCTCTTGTTAATATGACCAAGATGCGAAAACAAGGTCAAACGACCTCTACATCGAAAGATGACTTCGGCCATACTAAAGGCCATACCATTTTGATTTTTATATCTAACTTATTTAAGCTCATAAATAGCTTTATGAGACAATCGTTCTGGTATAGAAGCTGCATTCACCGCATTTTGTTTTATCTGATGGACTGGCAATTTAATACGATCAGGTTGCAAAAATGGGGCCAAGTCACCTCTAAACACTTATTTATTCAGGCCTTAGCTCGGATTTCCTTGATTCTGGCATCTTCCCTGTAACTTGCTAACATTCAAAATCGTCCTGCAGAATGGTAGCCATCGCCAGATATTACCTAGTATCGAATCCCGCTGAGTGTGCTGATTAGACTTGGGCCATAACGAAAATGCAGTCCACCCAGGATAAGGCAGCCTTTTTCGAGGCAAGGTCAAATGAAGATCTTCTCATTTCATTTTTGGAAAACTCAATTACCTAGGGGCCCTTAGCTCTTATTTAATTTAATTTAATTTTTATTTTTGGTTTTGTTTTACAAGCCAGAAGGATGTAATTTTAATTTCAACTTAAAATAATGTTTATCATTCTTTTATCATAGATATTGTTCAGTAAGTGCGTTGAGTCATTTCATAAGCCTGACCTACCGAGAAAATTACCTTCTGCTCTAGCCACCACTAACAGCAATTATTGTCAACAGAAACATCTTCAGCCTCCCAATCATCAATCGCAGCAGCCTACATCACCTTCAACTCCTACAGAATCCAACCATAGTAGTCGTTTTCCTGCTAAACAAAATCTGCTTGCTAGACACATGTCCTTTATGCGTGATGGAATTAATAACGGTCTTGGTATATTGACAGGAAATACACGACGCCCTGATACTTGTGCATTGGCTCAATCAACCATTCCTTCTGGCCACTGCATTTGTTCGGTTGTTCCTCTTCCAGTGGAGGATGTTGGTGTCTCCATATTTGAGGATAGTCATATTAAACGTCATTCCTCTTTGACTGTGCCTCATTCTTCTCCGATTTCTGATAGACGCTTCTTTCGAAAACGTATTAGCGGTAGTCAGCAGCGCTTGTTTGTTCGTCCTTCCTTAAAAATAAGTGATTCAGCTCTTAAGTTGGAGCCCCATAAGCCACACCCAGAAACAGAAGGGCAGAATAGCTTTTTGCAAATATCTTCTGGAATCATGGCCTCTCTACCTGACCGTCAATTGTATCAAAATACCATTCCAACAAGCAAGGTTGGACTACGAAAGCTTAATCAATCTGTCTCGCTTATTACTAATCACCGTTCCCACAAACGTCAGCCTTCAGCCCCACCTGTACTTATCGGCTATTCAGCCTTTATGGACTCCTGCAAACCCAGGTCATTTATCGATATTGGCTCTGTTGCACCCGATCCTCTGGATTCTGTTGTGGCCAAACGGGTATTCGAAGAGTTGCGTACTAATGATTTTCCTGTTTATACGCATTCACCTCGTTTGCCTCCACATTTAGTTTCTAGCACAGCAAAATCAACTTGCAATGGTATACGCGGTTTGGATCGTATTGAGTGGCTGAAGAAGGCTTCTTTAATTTCAAATTACTCGAGCTCTACTCAAAATGGTATGTAGTTATGATGCCACTTAGTATGATTCGATTACTTTTGTTTCTAAATTCGACTACTAACATTTGTCAACATTTTTACATTTTAGTCTATTTGTGAATACTTATTTAAGAATATACTTAATATTTGCTTTTTATATATTTTGTCACTTACTTTTCAACAAATATAAGCATATTCAATTACGTCTTGCTCCCTAAATATTACTATTTTTGTTCATTTTTATTTTATTACACTTTTAAGAAATTTATTTCTTGCTTATAGTAATCAGTGTTACATTTTCCGGATAAATATAGTAAGATTAGAAGCTATTTTTATCCGTTTTCAATACTATTTCCTTTATATTGTCCTTAATAATTTAAGGCGAAATTTGTAATTGAACATGGTTTTATTATTTATTTATTGGCATTTCATGCACTTGTAAGGCTTGTAGTCTATTTAGTATACTAATGCATTCTTTTGAATCGTAGTATTCAGTCAACTTCAAACCTTGCTATACCGTTTTAATTGCTCTTCTATTCATCCTTCAATATGATTGATTTGTTAATTATTTCTTTTTTATATGCCTATTTTCAAAGTTTTGTATTACATTAACATTACTGTGATTACTATATTTTAAATGCGAGTTAAACTAAGAATTACTATAATTTATTTTATTCCTTTTGTTGCTGGGTTTTATTCTGCTTACATTTTGTTCCGTTTTCAGTGTATTATCTAGTCTAGGTTTCCTGAATAATTTCCATTATTACAGCATTCTCATTGCACACATATTATAGCTTTTGATAATATCTTCTCATCTTAATTTTCTTTTTTCTCTGTTTCTGACACCTTTTTCCATCGTTTCATTTACTTAGCTGACTCTTCTCAACAAACTTCTAAAGTCGCTGCATGCGATGCCTCTTCCTACCACACGCACTCGGCAGATGAAAAAGCTGGTTTCGATACTGTATTTTCTCTGGGAGATGATTTAAATTCTAGAAATGCATTAATGCTCAAGCATATTCTTCACACAACTAAACACAACTCCGTGTGCCACTTGGCCATTTCTTCTCCCAGTAACATTGTCTCTAGTTGTGTCGATGATGGGGACCTTGAGAACTTTATTAATCCAGCTTCTCAACAAACTGCTAATTTCCCCTTTGCTTCAGCAAACATCTCTGGCGCCTGCCCTACTATCCAGCCCCAGCCATTTTTATCTCCGACTTGCACTTCCATTCCTACACGCCCCAGCGCTTTTCCTGGTCAAACTCAGGCCATCGGGTTTTCATTTGCTCCAGAGAAAGAATGCCCTGACCATGTCGAGCATTCAGAAGAAAATGGACTGGCTTGCAGGAAAACTGAACAGATCGTCTGTAGGCTAAAAGTTGTTCGAATCCACGGACAACTTCGTCGCCTTACCAAAGATAGTCGATTCTCTTCGGATACCCTTCTTACTGCCATTCCATTTTACGCCTCTCGTGTGTTATTCACTTTTGATTCTGACCCTTGCTTTGATTCAGACAAACTTAAGCATGACTCTATCACTACAGCTTTTGACCTTGACCAACACACAGCTGGATGGATTATGTTTGAATGTGGGCTAGAAAAGTTGACACTAACCTGTGTCCATCGATCGGGTTTTGAAGATAATCTCGATGATTTTGAATCACCAAGACGTAAAAGACGCAATTGTGAAGCCGTCAGAGTTGCTCATCCTAGGCACGGAGATGTTACCTTATTGTCACCC